TCTTCAGAAATTTTCTGAAGAAGGGTCTAGACCCGAAACATCACCCTTCCTGCTCCGCTGATGCTGCTTGGCCTGCTGTGTTCATCCAGCTCTATACCTTGTTATCTCAGATTCTCCAGCATTGGCAGTTCCTACTACCTATGCAAAAGAATTTGAAGGTTATTTCCTCTCCTGTTCCTCCACGAGAGGAAGATCTTGATGACCTTCTTAATTCAAGAGAATGCAAGCCAAATTTATGAATCTAGCTTCAATGTAACCCTTCATTCTGGTATCAGTGTGGTGAAGCTGTGCTTCATCCTTCATGCTCACTTAGTTCACCCACACTAATGTTCAGTACTAGAAATTGAACTGCAGTCGTGAAAACTGAGACAGTATTCAAAATGGGATCAAACAAAGGCACAAGAACTACTCATCAGCACCATAAACACAGCAGGAAGATTTTTTTATGCATCTGATAAAAACATAGAAATGTAGATTTTGCTAGCAGTTCAAAAACAACCTTTTTCTTTGCTATTGAGTGTAAACAACATACCAATTGATGGATTTTATTTATTAGGGATGTTTAACACAAATATTGATAAATAAATTATTTCAAGTATGAGAGTTTTTTCTCCACAGGCTGTCCGAAAAGCTTTTAACTTACCAGAGTCTGCCTCGTGTGATGAAGTTCGGGACAAATGGCAGAATGCTCACCTCAGTAAAGATCCCAAGGACATGAATGTGGTGGATTTGAAATATAAGGAAGAAGTGAATTTATACAACAACCAAATTAACAAGGTCTGAAATGAAACAACTTAATGGTTTATTAATTTTTTTGTCAATGGCGAATACTTGTTGTGGTGGAGGCAACAGAAATGGTATCAGTGTGGTAACAGAAATGACTGTTTAAGAATCTAACAGCAATGTGGATCAATACGTCTACATGACATGGACTGGGCTAGTTCAAGAAGTTGATTCACCACCACCTTTGCAGAGGCAATTAGGGATGAATAATAAATGCTGACCTCATTAGCAAGACCCATACCCTATGAAAGAACAATTCAAATTAAACACATTTCTGTAAACCTTACTCCATGCTGCTTGCTGGCTGTTTTTGTTTCTTCGTTCATGAGGTGTGGGTGTCACTGATTCGACCAGCAATTATTACCTGTTCCTAGTTATCTTTGAGAAAGTGGTGGTAAGCTGCCTCCTTGAACTACTGAAGCTCACTTGCTGTAAGTAGACCCAACAATGCTATTGGGGAAAGAATTCCAAGATTTTGACGACTCCCAGTTCTTTGATGGAATGTGTCAGACATGCAGGTGAAATTTCATCTTTTGTATCTCAAAATGTACGCTGAGCCTCAGCCTCAAAAGAGAACCCTATGAACAATAAGCAGGCTATTCGGTCCTTTGAGCATGCTCCTCTTTTCAATAAGATCATGGCAGATCGGATTGTACCCTCAAATCTACATTCCTGCCTTTCCCAAATAATCTTTCATCCCCTTCATTGAACAAGTCTATCTACTTCTGCCTTAAAAATATTCAAGCTCTCACCAGCTTTCAGGAAGACTGTTCCAAAGATTCATGACCAAGAAAAAAATTTCAACATGTTTCTGTTTTAAATAGGCAGCATTTGATTTTTAGTGGCCCCAGCTCAAGATTCTCCCCACAAAGAAAACATCCTTTGATCTACTGTGCCAAGACTCTTCAAGATCTTGTATATTTCTATCAAATTGCTTCTTACTCTTCTAAACTTCACATACAAGCCCAGACTGCCCACCTTGTCACCATAAGTAAACCGACTCATTCCAGATATCAGTCTGGCAAAGCTTCTGTGGACCTCTTCCAACCATTTAAAGACCATAAGATATAGGAGCAGAATTAAGCCATTCGGCCCATCAAGTCGGCACCACCATTCAATCATGGTTGATATGTTTCTCAAACTCATTCTCCTGTATTCTCCCTGTAACCCTTGATCCCCTTAGCAATCAAGAACCTATCTATCTCTGTCTTAAATACATTAGATGACCTGGCCTCCACAGTCATCTGTGGCAATGAGTCCCAAAGATTAACCACATTCTGGCTAAAGAAATTCCTACTCATCTCAGTTCTAAAGGGTCATCCATTCGTACTGAGGCTGTGCCTCGGGCACTAGGCTCTCCTACTTGTGGAAACATTTTCTGTCTGTCCACACTCTCTGTATTCTGCAAGTTTCAATCAATTTACCCCTTATCCTTCTAAACTCCATCAAGGACAGACCTAGGGTCCTCAACCACTCATATGATAATTCCTTCATTCCTGGGATCATTCTCGTAAATCTCCTCTGGATCCCCTTCAACACATCTTTTTTTTCAGATATGGGGCCCAAAACCACACTCAATGTCCCAAATGCAGTCTGACTGTTCCTTAGATTGGTTGTGGGATAAAAATTATCTTTTATTTTCTGGTGTTTAGAAAGAGGAGAGTTCATCTTACTGAGCCTTAAATGTTTTGAGGGACTGACAGGCTGCTGCTTTTGGCTGGAAAGTCTAGATCTAGTAGACACAGTCTCAGGCTAAGAGCTGAGCCATTTAAGACTAAGATGAACGGAAATTTCTTCACAGTTGTGAATTTTTCCTCCATAACTCCAGAAGGCTGCAGCGGCTCATTTTTGGAGTGTATTGAAGACACATCAATAGATTCTTGGACTCGAAGGGAATTGAGGGATGTTGAGAAAGCGGGAAAGTGGAATTAATATTGATCATTAACCATGATCGTTTGGATTGTGAAGCCCAGTCAAAGAATTATGTGGCCGACTGATGCTCATGTTTCTTGCTTCCTGTATATAATATTATTGTTTGAGGCAGTAATCCAGTTCTGACTGCTTGTGATTAATTGAATGATTGGTCTAACTGGATTTGGGGGCGAAACCTCTAGTCTTATTCATCTAATTGCACGCATTTGATGTGTAATTTTTCTGACAGAAGGAACCAGTTTCCTTCTATCGAAATCAGTTACCTTAATTGTACAAAAAAGGGAGTTATACTTCTCGTACTTGTCACACGAATATTCTCTTTTGTGATTGCAGATTTTATTTATTCTGCTATCAATGTGTGTTCTATGTTTGCTTTGATTGACAGGTATGTATGCCCCTGGGTCTTCATAGACGATTTCCAGACAATAACTTGCAACTCATGGTGCAGTCTGGTGCCAAAGGTTCAACTGTTAATACGATGCAGGTAATTTTTTTTCTAGAACTGCCAAGCAATTTTATGCTAAATATGCATGTGAACCTCTTACATTACGTCCAAACAATGATCAAATGAATCTAGTTGAATTTTTTTGCATAAGTTAGAAGCATGATGCATAAGGAAGTATCAGTGCAAGTTGTCTGTGTTGAATTCTTGTACAATTTAAAAAGGCTTTGTACGAGGGAATATTGAGGAAAAAGAGGGGACATACAATCGTAGGTAACCTTGTGATATGAATCACTAATTGGTTAGAGAGTACAGGGAGTTTGAATAAAGGATTTGCTGACTGATTGGCAGAGTGTGATAAACAGAGTTCCTTAATGTTCCTATACTGGGCCTTAGCTTTTAGCTATTTTATGATTTATTAATGACTTTGATGATGGATTGGAGTTGGATATCCACACTTGCAGTCCACATCAAATTAGGGGGCATTGTACATTTAATGGGAAATGATGTGTGGTTGCAAAAGAACATAGACAAACTAAATGAGTGGGCTTGAGCTCAACAGCTGGAGCACAGTGTGCAAAGTCAGTGATCATCCGCTTTGTAACTGACAAAGGGAAATCAGAAACATTTCTCAATAGAGAGAAACTAGAGGCTGTGGAAGAACAAAATGATTTGGATGTCTCCGTACACGGATCGCAGTGGACAGCCTAATTTTGCATAGAACCCTGTAAATCAACCAAGAGAAATAGGAAAGGAAGAAAATGAAAAGAACCGCCTTTCAGAACATTGAGAAATGCTTTACCTGATGAATTTGCTCACTGTTGTTGTAGAGGAAACTAATAGAAGGCAACGAATATGACTTGTCATTCTGAGCTAGCTCTAATCCAAGGCAGTTTTGTTAATATTTAAATAGTTAAAACATTTTTAATTTGCAATGCAAACAAAACTGAATCTGTTTCTGTCTGCGATTCTCATGAAGCAATAAAAATCGTGTCACGGGTAAATTTTATTTTGTTTCCAGATTTCATGCCTCCTTGGTCAGATTGAGCTAGAAGGAAAACGTCCTCCACTGATGCCATCTGGGAAATCATTGCCCTGTTTCCAACCTTATGACTTCACTCCACGTTCAGGCGGTTTTGTTACTGGCCGATTCCTGACTGGTATTAGTCCTCCGGTATGCAGACATATAATTCTTAAGAAAGTTTTTGGCAATATTTACATTGCTATCAGGTTAAAAGAGCTCATTTAGATAAGCTCTGTTTCATTTTTATTCTACCAGAGGATGTGGATGGCGCTAGCTTAGCCCAGCATTTATTGCCTATCCCTAAATGCACTTGAGGATGTGATGGTGAGTTGCCTCTTGAACAGCTGCAGTCCGTGTGCTGTAAGTAGACCCACAATGCTTTAGGGAGGAAGTTTCAACATTTTGACACGGTGACACTGATGGAATGACAATATATTTCCAAGTCAGGATGGTGAGTGGTTTGGAGGGGAACTTGCAGGTGGTGGTGTTCCCATGTATCTGCTGCCCTTGTCCTTCTAGGTGAAAATGGTCGTGGGTTTTGAAGGTATTGTACATGGATGCAATGCATCTAGTAAATGGCACATACTGCTGATACTGAGAGTCGGTGTAGAGAGTGGATGTTTGTCACTTGTCAGCCCAAGTCTGGGAATTGCCCAGATCTTGCTGTATTTGGACATGGACTACTTCAGTATCTGAGGAGTCGTGAATGGTGCTGAACATTGTGCAATCATCACTGAATATCCGCATTTCTGACCTTTTGATGAGGGAAGGTCATCGAAGCAGCTGAAGGTGGTTGGGCCTGCGACACGACTCAGAGGAACTCCTGTTGAGACGACTGACCTCCAGCAGGTGTAACCATCTTCCTGTGTGCCAGGCAGCATTCCCTTGAATTTTCTTAATGGCTACACAGGCTTCAGAGACCGGTTCATGGCAGTGATATCTGAAAATGGACGTCAATACCACGATCGATGTGAGTGGAGTAGCTGTGTATGCACGCGGCAATGCAGCTTAGAGGTATAACTCCAATCAACGGTGAGTTTTCTCCCTGATTCCCATTGACTATGGTTTTGCCAGGACTCCTTGATGCCACATTCGATCAGTTACAGTCTTGATGTCAAGGGCTGTCGCTCTCACCTCATCTTTGTACATGTTTGAACCACGGCTGTAATGAAGTCAGGAGCTGAAAGGCCCTGGTGGAACCCAGACTGGGTGTCAGTGAGCAGGTGCTGCTTGACAGCACTGTTGATAACACCTTCCATCACTTTACTGGTGATGGGGCAGTAATTGGCCAGGTTAGATCTGTCCTGCTTTTTGTGTAGGACATAACTGGGTAATTTTCGCATTGTCAGGTAGCTGCTTGTGTAATAGCTATGCTGGAAAAGCTTGGCTAGGGGTATGGCAAGTTCCGAAGCACAAGTCTTCAGTACTATTTCTGGACCATTGTCAGGGCCCTTGGTCTTTGCCTCCGACCAGGTCTTGATATCGCATGGAGTGAATCAAATTGGAAGAAGCCTGGCATTTGTGATGCTGAGAACCTTAGGAGGAGACCGAGAGGGCTCATTCACTCAAGCATTTCTTGTTGAAGATTGTTGCTAATGCTGCACCTTTATCTTTTGCACTGATTTGTGGGCTCTCCCATTATTGAGGATGGGGCTATCTGTGAAACCACCTCCTCCTGTGAGTTGTTTAATCGTCCACCACTGTTCATGACTGGAAGTGGGAGGACTGCAGATCTTAGATTTGCTCTGTAGGTTGTGGGATTGCATAGCTATTACTAGCTGCTAATGCTCTTTAGCATGCAAGTAGTCCAGTGTTGTAGATTCACCATGTTGACTGATCATTTTGGCAATATCTGATACCGCCACTGGCATGCCCTCCTGTACTCTACGTTGAACCAGGGTTGATCCTTTGGCTTGGTGGTAATGGTAAAGTGAGGGATTTTTTGGGTGATGAGGTTGCAGATTGTGCTGGAGTATGATTCTGCTGCTGAAGGAATGATAATATATTTCCAAGTCAGTATGATGTGTGACTTGGAGGGGACCTTGCAGGTAGTGATGTTCTCATGTCTCTGTTACCCTTGTCCTACTGGTTGGAGTAGCCATTGTTTTTTGAAAGTGCTGACCAAGGCGGTTTGGGGAATTGCTGCAGTGCATCTTGTACTGTGACTGAGGAGGTGGTGAAGGGAGTGAATGTTTGTGGAGTGGTGCTAATCAAGTGGGTTGCTGTATCTTGGATGGTGTCGTCAATCTCTTGTGTAGTGTTGAAGCTGCATTCATCCAAGCAAGTTGAAAATACTCCATCACAATCCTGACTTGTGTCTTGTAGATAGTGGACAGGCTTCAAGAAGTCAGGAGGTGAGTTACTCAGTACAGGATTCCTAGCCTCTGATCTGCTCATGTAGTCACGGTATTTATATGGATAGTCCATTTCAGTTTATGGTGAATGATAACCAAGGTATTGATAGTGGAGGATTCAGCAGTAGAAATCCCATTGAGGTCAAGGGACAATTGGTCAGTTCTCTCTTGTTGATTCCAGACCACAAGCAGTGGGTTGACTATTAACTATGTAATTATGTAGAAAGTCACTCAGTTCAAGGGTTAATTGGGATAGGCAATAAATGTTGGACTTTGCAGTGCTGCCCACGTCCTATTAAAAAAGGATGCAAAAGTGGTTTATGTCTTATTGTTGCTTGCTTGTGCTGCAGGAATTTTTCTTTCACTGTATGGCTGGCAGAGAAGGTCTGGTGGACACAGCTGTAAAGACCAGCCGTTCTGGATATCTTCAAAGGTAAGAAACTGTTTCCACTTCATATATTCTTTTAATTTTGTCTCTGTTTATTATTCTTTGTGTGGTCTTCTCTCTCACTCCATAACAACAGTACTAAATTGTTGCATAGGTGGGTGCAGAGAGAATATAACCTTTGTGGATATTTTCATGGTATTGTGTCAGCCATGGCTCAGTATTAACATTCAGCTGTAAGTCAGAAATTGTGGGTTTGAGTAACACTAGACATTGATGGAGGATAAAACTCTTGTGCAGTGCTGAGGATGTGTTGCCCTTCATCCTCCTGACTTGTAAGATAAAGTCACCATGATGACCACGGGGCTCCTCTTTCATTGGAGAGAGACGACTGCTGGTGAATTTAACCTGAGGGTCATCACGCCCTGGGCAAGTTAAGAAGTGAATGTGGAATTGAGCTGCACTGTTGGCAGCACTTTGCTTTGCAAACCAGCCATTCAGCCAACTGAGGTAACTGACTCCTGATTTAAATCTTGTAGATAGTGGATAGGCTTTGGAAAGTTTGGAAATTTATTTCCCATCACAGTATGGAACAGCTTGGTTGGAGCACCACTCTTCGGTACCACAGTAGAACGTTGTCAAGATTATTGCCTTTATTACATCAGGTTTTTTCAGCTGTTTCTTGATATGGTGTGGAGTGAGTCACATTGGCTGAAGAATGGCATTGTGATACTGGGGCGACTGGAATAGGCCGAGATGGATTATTCACTTGGCACTTCTGGCTGAAGATTGTTGCAAATGCTTCAACCTTTTGCACTGATGTACTGATCTCACCTATTGCTGAGGGTGGGGATATTTATGAACCTGCCCTTCTCTGGTTTGTTATTTAATTAATTGTCCAAATCCATTCATGACTCGATATGGGATCACTTAAACCTTCCATTTGCATGTTGCAAATGCTGTTTAGCATGCACTTGTCCCAGTGTTGTAGCTTTCCAAAACCCGGGATTCCACATGTCTTTATAACTGCTTTCTTAACCTGCCCTCCTACCTTCAGCAAATGTGCACCCACTTTAGAGTAATATCCTTTATTTTCTATTGCTTTGCCTTGCCTCCTATCAATTTATTTTTTCTTTATTCATTCATGAGATGAGGGCATCGCTGTCTGGGGCAGCATTTATTGCCCAGAGGGCAGTTTAAAATCAGCCACATTGCTGTGTGCCTGGAGTCACATGTAGGCCAAACCAGGTCAGAACGGCGGTTTCCTTCCCTAAAGGGAACTAGATGGGTTTTTCCGACAGTTGACAATGGATCCGCGGTCATCAGTAGACTCTTAATTCCAGATATTTATTGAATTCGTATTCCACCATCTGCCATGGCGGGATTGAAACTCAAACATGAGAGAAGTGAATAGGTCCAGAGAATGAATTTGAGTTCTAGGTCTGACTGGTTGAAAGTGTATATGAAAGTGCTAGGGTGAAGGTAGTGAAGGGGTGATTGTTCAAAAAATCGGAGAGTAGTTGGTAGAACATACAACCATTGAGCTATGGCTGATCAAGGTAAAAGTGAAAATATATACTGTTGACTCTTGTATCTTACATTAGATGCATTATAAAACATTTGGAAGGGCTGGTGGTACAATATGACCTGACAGTACGAGACAGCGATGGCAGTGTTGTACAGTTCTTGTACGGTGAAGATGGTTTGGATATTCCAAGAACCCAGTTCCTTCAGCCAGGGCAGTTTCCCTTTATTGCTGCTAACTATGAGGTGAGTTATCATTCAATGTGTCTAAATTATTGAAAGATTTGCTTGTTAGGCAAAGTATGAAAATTTGTCAGACAAAAAGAGTGGAAATTACTGCAGGTTAACCCTTCGCGTGCTTGTCCAAATTTCTCTCTATTGTAAATGGAAGGGATAAAGCGCTTCAGTATAAGCATTTATAAGTATTAATTCCTTATCATCCTGCTATATAGGCTGATTAAAAAAGAGGGGAAAATTCTCCATGGGCTCTAATAGTAATGATGCTGACCAGTTTGGTGTTGAGTCATGCATACAACAACAGGAAGGGGAAAAAACCCCTTTGGTTCATCCATCCAGTATCTGTCCAGGTCTGTAAGGTTTGAACTCATGTCAAGAAAGAGGGACTGCCACTATAATCTCTGCATTACCTGCTTCAGATAGAGGTAAACGGGTAATGTACAGATTGCTTACTCCAAGTAAGTATATGTGCCCCGTGTATTGAGTGGCAATATTTAGATATTGAGCAAAAGCCTAGGAACAGGATATAGCGATTTGGCTTCTTCAGTGCATTCTACCATTAAATAGAGCATTACTGATCTATATTTTAATTCCAAGAACGCCCCTTAATTCTGTAATATTTTAATACACTTGACTAATGAGAACCTGTCAATCTGAGTTCTGAAGGTGTCATTTAGGCTAACCTTAACCGCTTTTCAGCTTTTGCACAGCTAATGGTATCTTTTGTGCTGAAAAACCTTGCTAATATTTATACCTGTACACCCAGGTAAAGAGTAGGTATAAGTTGCACTTTCAAGCGATAAAGGGAGAGGACTAAGTTAGAGGATAAGAAAGTTGAATTGGAAACTAAGCAAAAAAAAAATCCAGTTTAATGGTCCTGTATCTGTTGTATTTGTTAGGGGATCAAAAAGTCAAAGCACTTGGAAGAGGTTTTAAGCAAACTTGATTCACAGGCTGCAAGCAAGTGGCATAAAGCAATAAAGAAATGGAAGGCAAAGCACCCGGATTCTGTTCCTCGTCTAGGCGCATTCCTGCTCTATTCACAGAAGAAGTGGAATAAGATCAAGAATATGAACCCAGAAGGAGAATGGGTAAATACCAGAGATCCTGCAACTCAACAAGTGAGTTTTTAAGCAAAATTCACAAATTTGTGCATTGCTGGCTAGGTCGGCATTCATTGTCCATCCCTTAATACACTTGTGATGGTGTAGCGATGAGAAATTTCTGCTATTAGGCAGATTTAAAACTTCTGTGTGTTTCAAATCTGACTAAGATTTACAAAGATCGCAGCTTATAGTCGGTGAGGTTTGCGATTGGAAGAGCAGTCAGCATGGGAGAAACAGAATCAATGATGGAGGAATAGTCAAAGGTGGGAAAGACATAGTCCATGTTTAGAGGAGCTGGAACAGCCTGGGCAATAAGTCTTTAGAGATGGAGAAATGCGAAGTGACCAGCAACAAAAGAGGAAAAGGATTCAGCAATAATTCTCAGTAAGTAATTATTTGAGCACCCCTCGGCATGAAAATGCTGACTGAACAGGATGTTTTATGGACATTATCCATTTATTTGAGCCTCATTTCCTATGGAGATGTATGAGGAAAGTATGTATGTTGAAGTGAAGGTTTTCTCGTGTTCTCTCTGTCACTCGAATTGCCACTGGTTGTTGTGAGGCTTTGAGCCTGAACCCAGCCTGTCTTGCTATTTTGACAGTTACCAATGGGGAAAAACCACATCCACCACCCATCCACTCCCCAATAACATCTTCTCTTGCAGAAATAATGTATTAACAGTTAATTTCTGATTCAGATGGGCAATTTCAGAATGACTCACTTGTCACTCCTTCTGAAACTCTTTCCGCCCTGTCAACTCCCTTCTCTCATCCCCTTTTCTTCCTCTTTTATTCCACCCCAATACCACATACCCTCTCAATCCATCTCATTTCTTTCACCTTAGTCCTCCCTCACCCCCTCAACCCCACACCCCTCTCCACTGTTGAACTCCTCCCCGTCTTCACCCTACCCACTAACTTCCCTCGATCCTCCATCTTGCCCCATTCAACCTCAACTCTGCCACTCTCCACCCTTCTTCTCCCACACCCATCACCCCACCCCCTTCCACTCCTCATCTCCCCATCTTCTTCCCCCCTCACTCTCATCCACCCCATGTCCCCACCTCCAATTCTTTGTCACAGCCTCTCCTCCACAACTTTTCACTTCGCTGGATGAAAATACTGGGACTCGCTTCCTAAGACCATTGTGGGTGCCCCTACGCACCAAGCATTGAGGTGGTTCATTAATGTGGAGGTGACGGTGTTGGACTGCGGTGGACAAAGTCAGAAGTCACATGACACCAGGTTGTAGTCCAACAGGTTTATTTGAAAACACAAGCTTTTGGAGCCTCAGTCCTTCTTCAGGTGTTAGTGAGAGAGGTGGTATCAGACACAGAACACCATCATCTTTTCCAGGGCAGAAGGAATGTGCAATACGGACGAGCTTTGCTTGTGATGCCCACATTCCCCAAAAGAATAAAAGAAGGCCTCTGGGACAGTTTCAAACTCCCAGCCATGGGAAACATCTTACCTACATTTACCCTGTCTATCTTCTTAAGTATTTTTAAAGTTTTACTTAGATCACCTCTCATTCTTTGGAGCCCTAGAGAATACTGGCCCACATTGCCCAATATCTCTTCACAGCACAGATCTACAATCCCAGGAGTAAGTCCGGTGAACCTTCATTGCACTCGTTCTATGGCAATAATATTCTTCCTGAAATTAGGTGACCATAGTACTCCAAGTGAGATTGAGCTAAGCTCCTATACAATTGAAGCACTGTAGTCCGTTTGCTGTAGTTTGACTCACAATGCCCTTAGGGAGGCAATTCCAGGATTTTGACCCAATAACTGTGAAGGAACAGCAATATATTTTCAGGTCAGGATGCGCAGTGGCTTGGAGGGGACCTTGCAGGTCATCATATGCTGGAGGCGATGGCCTAGTGGTATTGTCGTTGGACTGTTAATCCAGAGACCCAGATAATGTTCTGGGGATCCGGGTTTGAATCCTCCCGTGGCAGATGGTAGAATTTGAATTCAACAAATATCTGGAATTAAGAGACTAATGATAACTGTGGATCCATTGTCGATTGTCGGAAAAACCCATCTGGTTCACTACTGTCCTTTAGGGAAGGAAACTGCTATCCTTACCTAGTTTGGCCTACCTGTGACTCCAGACCCACAGCAATGTGGTTGACTCTTAACTGCTCTCTGGGCGATTAGGGATGGGCAATAAATGCTGCCTAGCCAGCAACGCCCTCATCCCACGACTGAATAAAAAAAAGTCCTTCTAAATGGAAGTGGCTGTGGGTTTGGAAGGTGCTGTCTAAGGATCTTTGGTGAATTTCTGCAGTGCATCTTGTAGGTAGTCCACACTGCTGCTACTGAGAGGGAGTGGATGCTTGTGAATGTGGTGCCGGTCAAGCAGCTGCTTTGTCCTAGATGGTGCCAAGTTACGTAAGTGTTTTTTGGGCTGCACTCATCCAGGCAAGTGGGGAGTAAAAACTGAAAGAATAAAAACTAAATCAGGAACTAATCAGGAGTATTACATCACACTCCTGACTTATGCCTTTTAGATGGTGGACAGGCTTTGAAGTCAGAATGTGAGTTACTTGCCACAGTATTCCTAGCTTCTGACCTGCTCTTGTATCCACTGTGTTTACGTGGCAAGTCCAGCTGAGTTTCCGGTCAGGATATGCAAGACCATGAGGTTGCAGATTGTGCTAGAGTACAATTCTGCTGCTGTTGAGGGCCCACAACACCTCATGGATGCCCAGGCTTGAATTGCTCAATCTGTTCAAAGTCTGTCTATCATGATGATAGTGCCACACCACATGATGGAGGTTATTCTCAATGTGAAGGTGGGATTTTGTCTCCACAAGAACTGTGTAATGGTCACTCTTACTGATACTGTTATGAACAGATGCATCTGAAGCCAGCAGATTGGTAAGGATGAAGTCATATATGTTTTTCCCTCTAATTGGTTCCCCCAGCATCTTCTGCAGACCCAGACTATCAGTTATGTCCTTTAGGATCCGACCAGCTCGAACGTGCTGCTGCCGAGCCAGTCTTGGTGGTAAACATTGAAACTCTCCCACCCAGAGTACATTTTGCGCCCTTGCCACTCTCAGTGCTTCCTCCAAGTTTATTTCATTATGGAGGAGTACCAATTCATCAGCTGAGGGAGGACTCAATACATTGTAATCAACAGGAGGTTTCCTTGCCCATGTTTAACATGAAGCCATGAGACTTCATGAGGTCCAGAGTCAATGTTGAGAACTCCCAGGGTAACTTCCTCCTGACTGTATACCACTTTGCTGCCAACTCTGCAGTGTATGTTCTGTCACCAGGGATGGTGATGGCAGCGTCTGAGACATTGTCTGTAAGGTGTGATTCCGTGAGTATAACTGTGTCAGGTTGTTGCTTGACTAGTATGTGAGACAGCTCTCCCAATTTTGGCACTAGCCTCAGATGTCAGTGAGGCGGACACGACTGTTTCTGCTGTTGTCATTTCCGGTGCCTTGATCAATGCCAAATGGTATGTCCGGTTATATTTCTTTGATGAGACTCTGTGGCAGTTGACACAACTGAGTGGCTTGCCAGGTCATTTCACAGGGCACCCGAGAGTCAGCCACATTGCTGTGGGTCTGGAGTCACACGTAGGCCAGACCAGGTAAAGGAGGGCAGTTTCCTTCCCTCAAGGACATTTGTGAACCAGATGGGTTTTTCCTGACAATCGACAGTGGATTCATGGTCATCATTAGATTCTTAAGTCCAGATATTTATTGAATTCAAGTTCTACCATCTGCCATGGCGGGATTTGAACCCAGGTCCCCAGAACATTATCTGGGTCTCTGGATTAACAGTCTAGTGATAATACCACTAGGCCATCGCCTCCCGTATGGCAGATTTCCTTCCCTGAAGGACATTAGTGAGCCAGATGGATCTTTTTTTGGCCATCAACAATGGTTTCATGGTCATCATTAGATTCTTAATTACATTTTTTTTAAAACATTGAATTAAAATTATACCAACTGCCATGGCAGGTTTTGAACCTGGGTCCCTAGACATTAGCTGAGTTTCTGGCTTAATAATCTAGCCAAAATACCACAAGGCTATCGCCTCCCCTATCTGTTTCTCCTAGCAAAATGGATAACATCATTTTTCTACTTTATTTTTCATCTGCTATTTTCCTGCCCATTCACTAAGGCTGTTCAAATCTTCCTGAAACCATTTTGCATTTTTCTTGCAACACATTAGCTTTGTATCATCTGCAGATTTGGAAATATTACAGTAAGTTACCACCTCCAAATGATTTGTATATATTGTGAACAGGTGGGGCCCAAGAACGAATCCCTTCTGTACCCACCAGTTTCAAAATCTCCCCACTTCCGGCCTCATCCCATGTCCAACCCTCCCTCTCATCTTGACCTGACGCTACCTGTTTATCCTCTTCCCCACCTATCCACCCCACCCTTCCCATTGACCAATCCCCACTACTCCTACCTGCAATCTCCTGTGGGGAACTTTATCAAAAACCTTCAGAAGATCAAATTATTCGATGTCCATCAAAAGTGGTGGCGAGCTATTACATTTTGGATGGTGTTTAAACTTTGAGTGTTTTTGAATTTACTCGCGGCCATCAGTTATCCCCAGATATCCCCATCATCCTTCCTACAAGTTATACTCACAAAGCACCTTTAATGCAGTAAATTGCTCCAAGGCACTTGATAAGAGCATAATCAGAGAAAAATTGAGCCGAAGCAGGTATTTGTGCAATTCTTGAAAAACCTGATCACTGAAGCAGTAGGGCTTATGGGGCAGCAGTGAGGGATGCATATGGTCACTGAGTTAGAGGTACACAAGATTCTTAGGAGTACTGTAGGGCTGAAAGAGATTACAGAGTTAGGGACTGAACTCAGTAACTGCTGCACTGAGTACATGAATGTTTGAACCCATTGTATCACGCACTAAAGTAGATATTTTCTTTGCTGTCAGTTTTGGAGATTTGGGAGCAGCTAGATGAAAAGAGCCAACACAGATATTTATAAATAACAGTTTATTGTCCTGACTTTTCCTTTTCAGATTCAATGCATTTTGTCAGCTAAGGACACACTAAAGTGGATCCATTTTTGTCTTGTCCACAGTTGCTAGAGATTTGGAGGTCGCTGGATGAAAAGAGCAAGTTTAAATACTTGAAGAAGTCTGCTTGCTGTCCCGACCCTTGTTTGTCGGTTTATCGTCCAGACATTTATTTTGGCTCAGTTTCAGAAAACTTCAGTGATACTGTGGATAGATATTTCACTGACCAGGAGGGCAAAGAAATCAGTTGCTACAGCAAGTCGGACCTCCCACTGGATCGGTATTTATTAAGCAACTTACCTGATTTTTGTTTTAGCATTTCACTTTTAAAATATAGGCAAGGCATGATTATTATAAGCAACTATAAACATTGTAATTAATTTGAACAATGTGGTGTCCCTTTGGTTTGAGTTTGTGCTCAGTATTGGCTTAGTGGTCATGTTGTTAGGTTAGCAAACCAGAGATCCAGGCTAATACTCTAGGGACATGGGTTCAAATTCCACAATGGCAGCTGGTGAAATCTGAATTTAATGAAATAGAACATAGAACATAGAACATTACAGCTGTGAGGTGATTCATTTTGGAAGGACAAACTTGAAAGCAGAATACAGGGTTAACGGAAAGATTCTTGGCAGTGTGGAGGAGCAGAGGGATCTTGGGGTTCAATTTTCACAGTTCCCTGAAAGCTGCCATCCAGGTGGATAGAGTTGTTAAGAAGCCATATGGTGTGTTAGCTTTCATTAACAGAGGGATTGAGTTCAAGAGCCGTAAA